CGTGTGACGTGTAAGGAAAACAGGCAAGTGTCTAAGGCAGTAGGTGAAAGTAAGAAAAGCTTCTCTAGAGTGATCGAAAAAATTTAAGCTGACTTTGGTAGAGCTTGCCTTTATGTGAGACTGGCGGCCATGGCTGGTTTGCTACAACAAGAACTGATCGAGACTCAGGTGCCGCATGAGAGGTGAGGCAGGGGACTTCAGAAAGTCTATGAGTCTGGTTTTTTCCATGCCTGATGAAAACCTGCCACGAAGTCTCTGAATTTTTTTTCAGTTTTGTACAAGAAAATTTTGCATAAATCATAAAACTATTCAAATATAGCATGTAGTTGATAAAGCTGATTCTATCACTGCTTTCTGAAGTAATACATAGGACAGTGTCTAGGCTATAACAAGGCACTTGTATTTTTCTGGAGGGTAATTGGAGCTACAGTAGTGTGGGCCATTCCAGAGTTTAATATGTGCTGCTTTGAGGTGTTGCTGTAGTTCAATCTGGTGTTATGTCGAGGTAAAAATTCAGATTTTACCAGCATATGCTAGCTGGTGTAAGTATACGGAACACTTTGTTTTAGCAAATTGTGTGTGTGTATGTGAATTTTGAGCATAAAGTGCTAAATACCATTACCCATTTTAGAAGTGCTTAAAATAACTCCTGGCTGAGAGCAGGTGCCATATGTCCTTTTGCTGGATACATGGGGAGGCAAGAGCTAAATATAGACCAGTTTGTAAACCCTCTAGAAGTTCAAGCTGCAAGAAGGGAAGGAGGAAGCAATTCCCGTGAGAAGGAAGGGGAAGCGCTCTGTTTAAAAAGGGTAAACAAAACTCTGCGACACTATGCAAGACAGTCTGCGAGAGAAGCTAAGAAGAGGACACTTGTTTTGTGCTTTGTTGGTGCCGGGATGGTGCCTCGGCGGCAGCGGGGTCCGCTCCAGCGGTGCGAGAGGCGGGCTGGGGCGGCGCCCAGCACCGGGGAGGGTTTTCCCAGCAGCGGCAGGATGGCTATTGCAGCTCTGCTAAACCAGGCCCTGGCCTTTGCCGACTGACCTTTTACTTTGGAGGTACTGGCTGATTTCGAAGCACAGCGAAGGCAAATTGTGCCGTAAATGTGAAATGTTAAGGGATATGGTCAGAGACAAACAAATTCAGCACATTACCAGACTGAGCTTAGCAGCACCCTTCTTCTGTTGCCTCTGAGTGCAGCTGTGGCTATGCTGTGTGCTCAGCCCCGTTTTGTGCCTTTGGGGCCAACCCGTCGTGCTGCCCCCAGCACCAGTCTCATTGTGGGATGGCAGGCATAGCCACAAGTCCTCCTATAGAAAGGCATCAGCCTGGGACCGGAGTCTGTCACCTCCCACCTGAGACTAGAGGTCACCTGTGCCCTGAGGAGCTCCATTGCTCTCCTGGGTTATCCCAAGTTTTTAACGGAGGAAGGAGGAGAAGGGAGAAAAGCCTCTCCCACAGTGGGGAGGCAGTAACATCCTCTGGCTCTTGGGGGTGTTTCCCACTGGAGGAGAGGAGGACCAGAGGGACTATCTGTAGGCAGCAACCGCCAGTGTCTGGGATCAAGCTTCCATCCAAAACACCAGGGCCACGAAAGATACTGATCTCAGGGCTGTGGAACAGGTCCAGGATTTGGGAGCTCAGGAGGAAAAGAGTAAACAAGATGCAGTGCTCAGACTCAGTCAGATAACCGGTCAGTCCTCCCCCTCGCCATAAAACAGGATAAGGCCATGTTGGAAATTCAGGTGCCTGGAGGCAACAGTAATGGTGGTAGGAGTCACGAAACTCAAGAGGTGGATAGTTAAAATTGGGCAAGTCTAAAATTCCTGAGGAACCAGGGAATTCTTCTGGGCTCAATCACCTAATTTTTAGGCATTACTGTGTCTAAGATAGCGTATAATGTAAACACTTTGGATCTTACTGAGATTGGCACCGAAAGTCTTTTATGGCCTGATAAGGAAGAATTCCTGATGTACATCAAGGTTAAACAGGCTGGAGAGCGAGGAGGACCAGGGCCAACTGCAGTAAAATCTCCCAGCATCAAAGGCTGTAAGTGGGCTGCTCTGAGAGCTGCCCTGTCTCCCTAAATATAAACTCCGTGACGCTGGGGAAGCCGTTACACAAAACAAGGTGCAGAAGTCTTAACAAGCGTTGTGTTTGTGCTGAAAGTAGTTATCAGACCTCTGGTTTAGCCTGAAGGAGAATGGAATAAAGCATTAAAATGTTTACTTGTCTGTGTAAATACGATCCCCAGTATGATCCATCAGTGTTCATTGCTGGGTATTTCTGTGGTTCCTGCCTGCTCGGGCTGGTGGCAGATGTGAATTGCCATGGTTTCAGAGACTGATTATTACTAATCCCTTTCTAGCCAGGAATGTATGTTAGGGAAGATTTCCTGTGAGGCCAGCTTTTAAACATCTTGTGTCCTTGATTCTAAACATCCAGTTTCTCTTTCATTCACCCGTGTGTTTCCCTTATTACTGAGAAACACTGTGCATAAATCGATTGCCACTGTTGATTTAAAGCCTACTGTGTTTGCAGGCATGCTTAGTAATTCACATAGGAGGAAACCTTTAGCTGGACAGTGCTGCTCTGTAAGCCATGCAGTTGGGAGTTGGGAGGCAGCCAAGGGAGGGAGTTGGGGTGCAGCGAGGACCACGTCGACTTGTGTCTTCTTACAAAGAGAGGGAGATAGGCAAAAAAGAAATTCATATTTGGAAATGGAGCATTTAGCGATTCTGTTCTCCTTCTCTGATGAATGTATTACAAAAGAGCTGGTTTAAATTGGGGATGTACTTTGTGAGACTTTTGATCTGTCTAGACAAGAGCTGGTGATCCTCGGTTTTCTAGCTGATTGATTACCGATTGCCAATTAGCTCAAATTAATGAATACAATTGTAAACACTAGTCTGAACATGTCAGAAATAAACACATATTTTGTGGAGCTTCTAGCTTAGCATTTACAATAATCGTACTGACCTTGAATTAATTGGCAGTCAATTAACTCCAGTTAAAACAAGAACACAAACAGTAGTCTAACATTCATGCTATCTGGAATTATTTACCTAAATTGCACATGTAGGGTCTAATCTTTCAATGTAAATTAAACTAAATATGAAATCAAATCAGACAGGTATAATTTTACAATCACTTTGCAGTGATATAATGACCATGCCACAAGCAGGAAGGAAAGAATGGGACGTGTCTGTCTGTCTGACAGGGTCTGTGGGACCAGGTCCAGAAGCCTTCCAAAGCCATTACTGCTGGCGAGTTGTACCTGTGGGAGGTCTGCAGGGGCACGGATTTATAGCTAACAGTTTTCAAACACATCCTGAGCCCTACTCAAACCTTTCAATTAAAGGCCCACAATTAATTGCTTGAGAGATGATAAAACATAATATTTGACTATCTTATCTGTGAGCCCAGTCAAATAGCTAGACAATCAAATCTTGAAAAATGTTGCCTTAGCGATGGCCATCACTGCACTTCCAAACATCACTTTGACTGGGGAGAGTTTAATAACAAACACCGAGTCACGTATGACAGTAAATTACATCTCTCTTATCATATACTGCTTTTGGCCAAGTCAGTTTATGATTTTGAAAGCTGTAGAAATTTAGACACCATAGAAGATATACGTTACAGCCAACTGAACAGGCAACAAAATGCTTCCCAGTTAGCTCCATGTTTTCAAAGCAAGTTGTCTTTTAAAAAATAAGAAAGCAACCACCTCAGACGCCGGAACAGAACCGAGAAAGCAATCTTCTTCCTCTCTTCGTTCCCCACTGGCACTATTGTAAATCATATCATTAAAGGGAGGAACAAAAATCAGCCTGAAAAAGAGAGTGAAAGGACCTATGGCTATAAAGAGTACAGAGTCTGTAGTGCAGCAGAAGCGGGGGCTAGTTGCAGGGCGAGACCCAGCTCTGCACCCCGTGCTTCGTGAGGGCAGCGCAGCAGCGACAGCAGCTCTGCTGGCACTCTGAGGAAGAAGGAGCCTTCTCTGCACTGCGTTTTCAGCCGCACGCAGTCAGAAATGCTGTTTCTGCCGGCCCACACCTTGCAGGAGCTGGGGAGCAGGTGCCCAGGACGCTCTCGCTGACACCCCCATGGCCAGGTCCTGGGTAAGCCGGAGCAGCCTCCGGAGGAACACAGGCTCATCGGGAGCTCTGGGTTCGCCTGGCTGAGTGCAGCCGCTCGAAGACATGGGAAAACAAAAGCTTCCCTTTGCAAATTGGGAACAAATTTTGTGAAATTTGCCCCAGAAAACACCACAGACCATCAGCCCATGCTATGCCCAGTTGGTTTTGCTTCACTGTGATTTATTCTGTATTGGTACTTTGTCAAACAAGCTGTCAGCAGCACGCAGCAAGTACAAGAGAGGAGTGGTTTATAGCTGTTTATCTTATTCTTTGTTGTTATTGTGACAGTACCAAGCCAGGCCACTTGTAGATCAAGCACCACGCTGGGCTCTCCAAGAGCACAGCACAATTTTCAGTTTGCTGGTTTCATTTAAAATACTCCTTTTTCGTGATTATTGACTTAAGATGTGCCAACAGGGGAGAAATAGGAAATGAAACTGATGCAGCTCTGAAGCAAAGCTGCCCATATCGGTAGCCAGCATTGCAGGTAAACAGATCAAGAAAAGTAAACGTGGCAAACAGTATGATCAGGGAGGGAAGTGGTATAAATGACTCAGGTGTCATTTCGTGTGTTATCACTGGCAACACAAATAAGAGGTTTTGATTTTTCAGTATTAGGTTTGTGCAGGCTTCTCCTCTTGGAAAGTATATAATTTGCTTTTCTCCCTGCAGGCGAATCACCTTGGTTGTTTATTTAATTGTGACATATTTATCAAGCCAGAGGCGATGGATGAGCTGCCATCCCAAATTCCACACAAAATCACTCACGTGCTGGCCAAGCTTTGGGAACAGTTAGATGACTAATTCCATGTGCTTTTAAATTAACCCTCCATCTGTTTGCTGCCAGGTACTGCACCAAGCATGGAGAATGACCAGTCTGCCACCTCGCCTGGGCAGGACATCCAGGGGCAGAGCGGGGACAAACCTGCCCCCGGCTCACAGTCCCCCACTCCAGCCCCCGCGGAGCAGCCGAGAGCCCGGCCCGAAGCAGACGTGTGCGACATCTCGGAGGAGCTGAGCCGGCAGCTGGAAGACATTATTAAAACCTACGGGTCTGCCGTGAGCCTGATGGAGAAGGAAAGCGCCGCTATGGGAACCGACAGGCCTGAAAAGGGAGAGCCAGGCGGCGTGGAGGATGCGGATTATGAAGATGCGAATGAGGAGAGTGAGAAAGAGAAGCTGGCTCCTGGGGATGCTTCCAGAGGAAAGGAGCCCAGCGGCAGCAAGGAGCAAAAGCTGGAGAAGAAAATCCTGAAAGGACTAGGCAAGTACTTATGTACTTACACAGCCCTGCTGTGAACAGAAGTAAAACCTCCCTAGTCCTTGCTCTTTCCCATGTTAATCCTCTGCCGTGGATGATAGGGACCTCTAGTTACCACTGAAAATTACGGTGACTGTTACAACTTTTCTCTGACTGATAATTATTTTCAGCAATTATCTGACAGATACATGTAGGCTGTGTCAGATATTAGTCCTTTTAAAAAGACAAAAGCTTAGGATTATATCACACGATTCTGATATGCCACCCAAACTACTTAGCCAAAGCTGAGAGACTGATGACGCATTGCAGAATGTTGCTTCTTAGACAGAGGAAAACCTGGCCTCTCGTTTGTGCCTCAGTAAATTTTTTCTTCCCCCACTCTGGGTATGACTTCTCAGCAGTCATAACGGTGCTAATGGTGCTACTATGCGGTGTGGGAATCTGCAGAACAAATTCACTGTCATGCCCAGGTTATTTTTCATCTAGCAGACCTCCGGACTCATCACGGACTACATGAAATAAGCCAATACGCTTATTCTCTCTAAGCACAGTGCTTAGAGAGCACCTTGGCCACAGCAGGGCTCTGTTAGCTGACCTAGAAAGAAGTCTCAGCGAGTTTTTGTAAAGTATGTACTTTCTGCTGGGCAGCCACTAGAGAGCAATGTCGTTACATCCCAACCTAGCAAACATGTAATTTATTTCCCTTCCTACATTTAACTCCCACCAATTTTCAAGCCTCTCCTTCGCGTGAGAACCCAAACCCAACCGCAGACTATGCCTATTGAAAAATCACTGCAGGACATTCTTACAGACAAGGGACTAAGCATAGGACAGAGCAGGGATTTTTTTCCCTGAATTCCTTGAATGTCCAGGAGAAAGAAAGTTCCTCCATTTCTATTAACTTGGCTTGGGTGCAGTTATTGGTACCACTCCAAGATCAGTGAAAACACTACCAAAGCACTTGTTCTCAAGCTGCACTTGCAACAGTTTTCACTCCAGGATTTTATTTTAGCTCTCTTCAACTTATTTATACTGGTGCTGTAGAGAAAACTTAGTGTGAAATAGTGGCTTTTCTCCACAGGCAGTACTCCTGGACTGCACAACACTTGAAGTAGAAAAAGTCCAGCCTAAAGCAGAAAGCAAATTTGCTCTCACAGCCTCGGGAAAGAGGAGCATTTGGAAAAGCACAGCCAAGCCCCTGGCACCACAGCCATCCTTATCTTCAGGGATGCTAGGGACATTTTGTATTTGATGAACAAGCGGTGTTCAAGCTCCAGCTCATACTTAGGGCTGAAAGGAATACCAAGAGGTATCAGAAGAGAAGCAATACATAAATGGCTACGCAGTGATTTAGCTATGCACGCCCAGCTAGTTATCAGACTGTCTCTGGTATCTCTTCACCAAGTCAGGGAACTGATTTACACCACGATCATGTAGCCCAGAGCTGGCTGGCAGTACCCACTGCTCTCTGATTGTTTCCATCCGCACCATAGTCTCCGTGCTTAACTTAACCTTCCTTATGTCTTTTATGGGTGGAGCAGCACTGGAGCTGAGTACACCAGCTTCGCAGTTTTTGCCTGCAAAGAGACCTGGCTTCTGAGCCTTCAGGGTTCAGGACCTTTCAATCCTATTTCAGTCAAATGTGCCATATATGTGACCCAGTCATGTTGCAAAACATTGAATGAAAATCAGATTATACAGGACAAAAGCATTTCACAGCCAATGCTTTTGCTAGAAGACAGAACATTACTGAGGGCTGAAATGGAGGAAAATTGAAGCATGTTTGTTCTTATGGGGACAAGAAAAACCTGGAAATTCATAGCAAAAATTATTCCCTTCTTTCCAAAATGCCTCATTTCTCCCTGAGTTTTTATAGATTCATGCATGAAACAACCAATTTCATAAGAGTACATCAGCTACAAACTACTTCTACCATCAAATCTCTGCTTCTTTTTTTTTTTAAGGGAAGGAAGCCACCCTACTGATGCAAAGCTTGAACAAACTGAATACTCCAGAGGAGAAGCTGGACCTGTTATTTAAGAAGTATGCTGAGCTGGTTAGTACAGCTTTGGTTCTCTTCTGTGCAAACTGTCTATACGGGAAGGTATAAAAAACATATGCTATGCAGCATGGTCAAACCTTGTGTAGTAATAGCGTCTGTCCTGTTAAGTGAATCCCAAAATAATTGTCAGGGTTATGGGTGAGAACGAGAACAAAAGTAAAAAGTGAGGAAAACAATCTGGACTTTGGGTTAAAAAGTTTATGAGGTGAATCTACCAAACCGACCCACACTGGAGACTAGTGTCTAGGCTCCTGCCTTCACCTTCTGCAAGGAGCTTTGCATATCTCTGTATGTGGGTGTTGCTTTGAATTACATATCAGTGATTTAATCAAAATGAAAATAATACAGGTCTTAGTATAAAATGTTAGGAAGCAGAAAATCAGAAAACAGAGAACTGAGGCGAATCGTGAGAGAAACCACAGTACAGTGAAATGAAGAGTCAAAACCCCTGCCACTATAATATTACCCCGTAACAATGCCAGCTACCTCACTTTGTTCTTTCCACACTAAAGATGGGTTATTTTCAGATCAAGTATTTTCTTCTAAGTAGTTAAAGGGCTCTACGGCCATGGAAATCTTACAAACAAAAAGGTTGCAGCATTTTACAGTTTGTGGAGTACTGAAAAATGTGCCAAGCAGAACATTGACTTTGTAATAGGCTTTATGCCCAGATGTGTCCATGTCTCATCATAATGTGAAGTTCAGCTTTCCCTTTTTTCATGTAAAATCCTCTGATTTCATAAATTGGGCTCAGGCGGTTTATGGTTTAACCCGTGCTTAAAGAAACTTCATGCCCACAGATTAACTGAAACAGGTCTTCTTCTTCCTCTACTCTCCACCACATTCAAGTGGTGTTGGAGCCACTCCAAGGGGTTGGAGCACTGTATAAAACAGGTGCCATATTGCCAGTAACCTATCCAGGAGAAAGGTACTAAAACAAAAATACTGAGTATTCGGTTTTGACATCCTGTGCAGTGTCACTAAAATAGATCATTTAATAAATACGACTAAAAGCTTGTTGGAGAAAGCCTTACGCTGATCGCTCAGCAGGGCTGAGGGGTGTAGTGTGATTAATAGCTTGTCAGCAGTCAGCTGTAGTAGTTACCGCTCTCTCTGCTCCCTCTTGTCCATCCCCATCACACACTTCAGGCCACTTTTTGCTTTTGCTGAGTTGTTTTCCAGCCACATCAGCTCCCTGGTCCGGTGAACGATGTGGTGACACAAGCACTCGTTGCAGCATAGCCCAGGGGATGGTGCAGCCACGTGCCAGGCTGAGCTGGGTGCTGGCAATGGCTTCAGCTGCATTAGATAGTGCTGCTGCTGCCAGTACTTGGGGACCCTACGCAGCACCAGCGCTTCCCCACAGCCACCCGGCCATATGCTATTTAACTGTCAGCACATACCCTGGCACAGCCTATACTGACGGGTACACCAGAAAACGGAAGGCATCAGGGAAGAGCATGGGCTGGTTTGAAGGAAATCATGCCTGGGGACACGGGAGGAAGACAGTGTAGTCATTTGGGCACAAGCCACGCCACGCTACTTGCCGTCAGAGAACATTTTATTTACTAATACTGGTATAGGCAGAGTGGTTGGGGTTAGTAAAGCAGATTGTGCTGTATTTTAGCTTTTGCCTACAAATGGCTATTGCAGAATTGCTTGTGACCGGTTTATTTTCAGAGGTCCTGAGGGCCTCGCAAGTGCTGGGTGCAAAAACTGTACACTAATAAATAAATATAAGCATTGTCATTGTCTGCAGTGGGGTCAAGATAAAACATTTTTCCTAGACTGAGAATTTATCTCTCTCGGTCAGCCTTCAAAAATCAGAATTCCTTCTATTTGTAGTTAGTTTTAGCTAATATTTCATTAATTATTCTTAAAAATTTAGCACTGGGGCCCTTTTGTC